GCCCTGGAAAACCTTAACTTAAAATGCACGACTATTTTAAACCTATATATTTATAAGCATATTTTTATCCATAAATAAAGCTCCTCCAGTGAAAGTGAAGTTGAAAACCCTGAAGCACAGCCGTTGTCTACTGTCCGTCCTGAGGAGATCCCTCCTGTACCAGAAAACAGATTTCTGATGAGAAAAAGTCCTCCTAAAGTAGATGAAAAAGAAAAAGAGAGGAAGAGCAGGGAAAAAGAAAGAGAGAGGTAATATTTTTAAGTCAAACTGCTTATTTATAGTCATATGATCATGAGCTTTTAGATGCTTGGGAACTTCAGGTTTCTTCCCATATCTCAGTGTGCTGCACTGCCAACTTAACTACTGGCATGGTATCTAATATATATTGTCATCTTTAAAATTTGGTAAACTCTTGGGCTTGAGTTGACCTGGATAAAATTAGCATTTTCAGTTCATTGGCAGGCTCAGGGAAAACTATACATTTTGCTTTAGTGTGAAGTCACAATTTTTTGGTAAATTAAAAAAAAAAGTGTTTGGCATTAATCAAACAGTTTGCTTCAACAAAATCTATATTTCACTTTGAGTTTGAGTTATCTGAAATAAGTAAATAATTTTTTAGGAAGTCAAAGTTGTTAAAAAAACACGTGAACTTTGCTTTGAATTTTCAGTTTATTTTAGAATGTCTCTGGATTTTTTTTCAAAATGAGAAATATGTGAAACATTTTGACCTTACAAAATCCACAGCTCTCACTGGAAAACTTGTGAAAAAATTGTTGAACACTAATTATGAACAATAGCATTTATTTTTTTATAAATTGTATTGTAAACATCTGAGTAATGTGGATATTACAGCGGTGCATGTTAAGGAAACTTGCAGAGTAAATAATGGTAAGAAGGAAATTGGGGAACTTTAATCAATATTCTACTACATATGGAAAGTTAGCATCAACTAACTGTTGGTGCTAATGATGATTGTTGGGGGTCAGATATGAAATATTGTTTAATTTAATTGCTAATGTCATTCCTTGACTTGGGCACTGTGTCCATCTACTCCAGGTTCCCATTCCTGGCCATTGCCAGCATAAGAAATACCATTACCTGGTCATACAGAGAATTATTTTCTGACCCCAGGTGGTTAGTTAATGGTTGGCTAATGTTCTGGAGTATTAGGTTTGTAGTTGGTATATTTGATGAGGTAAAGAGCAATTAGATAATTATATAAGACCTCTTTAAAGTTTACTAAACTCTTGGGCTTGAGATTCTGTAATGCAGCAGTTCTCAGCCTTTTTAAACTCAGGGCGCACCCTTTATCAGACTCAGGTCTTCCCTCCATAACTTTGGTGAATTGAACAGCATCCTATTCCAAAAATGAACTTAATACAGTGCTCACCTCCTTGTAGAGGGGCCATGCAGTGAAAATCTTTATCTACTTATCTCCCCACACCTGGAGCCTGAGCCTGCCATTATCTGCATATCTCCTCACACCTCATCTGTCTCCTCACACTTGCTGCAGCATCCTTTAGAGGATTCTGTTAGGGGTGCACTGATAGCGATTTTTGGGGCCAGTACCGATAGCCGATTTTTAAGGAGGCATATCAGCCAATACCAGTCCAATTTCCAGTACCAGTGTCCAGCTGGTAAGTCTGTTGTGGTGGAAGGGGAGGGAAGAGGAAGGGGCATTGGGGTGCAGATCAAGGCCCCCTGTGGTGAGGGAGGGGGACTGGGGCTAGGACAGGGGCTGGGGCTGGGGTAAGCACTGCCCAGCCAGGGCAGGGCAGGGCAGGCATGGGACTAAGCCGTGGCTCATCTGGGGGGATGGCAGCTCTCACCACTGCATGCCACTTGTCTGGGAGCTGCTCACCTGCTTGACTGGTGGCTCCCACCACTGCTCCCACTGCTTGTCTGGGAGGGCATGGGGGAGTGTGTGCCTCCGAATCTGTGTGAGGTGGGGCAGGGGCTATGCCAGACTGTGCTTGGGGTGGGTAGCGGTGGCGCTGGGAGCAGGGCTACGGGGGGGCTACAGCCACCCCAAAATTTGCTGTAGCCCCCACATAGCCCCTGCTCTCAGTGCTGCCGCTGCCCACCCCAAGCGCAGTCTGATGTGGCCCCTGCCCCACCCTGCCCTGTGCAGATCCGGGGGCACAGGCCCCCCACCCCGTGCCCTCCCAGTTGAGCAGTGGGAGCCATTGGATGGGCTGCCAGATGAGTGGCTCCTGGGTGAATGCTGTGCAATGGTGGGAGTCACCATTCTGTTCCATGCCCACCTCACCCCCGCTGGGCAGCACTTGCCCCAGTCCCTACCCCATCCCCACTCTCTCTCTCACTGTGTGTGTGTGTGGGGGGGGGGGGCC